GCCATCGTCAGCGACCATATCATTGGGTGCCATTCTCTCTGCGGAATGTGGCTGTGTCTCTTTACTCAGCCTGATCTGGACGAGCAGGGACGTCTCTCTGTTCACCAGTCTAAACTGGCTGTGACCTTAGGGGTTACTAATGGGGTTACTAATGGGGGTACTAATGGGGGTACTAATGGGGTTACTTATGTCTGAGTAAGGAAACACAGTCGGTCCTATACAATGCTGGATGTGACTGTCTCTTTATGTCAACCTACACCACACACGCTAAACTGTGTGGCTGAAGGGTACACACGTGCGACTGTTGATGAACAGATCGTGAGTTCGAATCGTGAGGGAATCTGGTGGATGCGATTCACAAACAAAGATCGAAAAGAAGGAAGAACGAAATTCAATGTGCTTCTTTCACTGCAACTGATTGTCTGGCATCTGACCGACCTGCTGACCTGCTGTGCCTCTTGGACTCTGCTGCTGCAGGCAACTACGGTAGGTGGGGGGGGGTAAGTTGGCCTGGGTGTCTTGCCAAGCAACGGATCCTGAGTTCGAACTCATCCTGACGCATCCGCATACCACCACAAGTAAGTGTCAGTTAAGCGCGCTTTGCATTTCAACCAGGTGGGTAAGTTGCCTGATTTAAAAAAAAAAAAAAAAACAGGAGCCTGATCTCTCTGTTGGTTGACGCTTGGTGAATTTTCAGAACGACTATTTTAACATGTGCAGCCCAGGAATGGCCTTGCAATGACATGCATATATTACGTCTGTTCGGTGGATTCACTCGATTATCGGTGCTCCATCTACAAGGAGTGAGAGCCTGTATGGGGGTGAGACAGCGAGGATTTATAGTCAAGTTAGCCTGGAGTCCTGGACTTAAGTGAAATTGTCTCGCATATGCTTGAGACCTCCTCCCGGTCGTCCCGTCTCGGCGGTGGATTGAATTCTCCGTGCTAATAACTGGATGGTGCAGTATTTTCAGGTGAGAGTCTGATAGACTACCTATAGTCTGAGGTGCTGCATCGTTGGCTACTCTCTCTCTCTCTCTCTCTCTCTCTCTCTCTCTCTCTCTCTCTCTCTCTCTCTCTCTCTCTCTCTCTCTCTCTCTCTCTCTCTCTGGGGCTATTTGTTCACCCATCTAAGCCGATCAACTAATCTCTAAGCACTGTTATTCTCCCATCTTTTTTTTTTTTTTTTTAGTTATTCTCCCACCTGTTCGAGGAAGTGTTATTTTCTTTGGAAACCGTACCGGTGATGGTGCCGCCAGCGTTGACGCTGCAATCGCTTCAAAGTTCGAAGTCGTGATGTTTTTTTGACTAATAGCTACATTTGCGTGCCATTCAGCCACGTGGATTGGCTGTGCATGTGCGCTTTGCTGAGAGAAGACTTAGGGCAACCGTAGCAAAAGAAATGCACCCAGTCTGGATTTGACTTGACGAGAGAAGTCTTCCATGCCCAACCCCCCCCCCTCCTCCCCCCTCCCCTCTACGACTTGTGTACTGCTACTGCATACCACACTGTTTTGATCCTCTGCCGCCCTGTCTGTGACAATTGTGCACATGTGTTATGTGCCGTATGATGCTGTGTGCAAAGGGTAACGGTACTACACAGTGAGCTCAAGTAAGACGTCCGCTTGTGTGATTAAATAACATGTTGCGAAGATTAGGACAGCAGTTTGCATCCTGTGCATCCTTCGAAAGGACAACAGGCGTTTTCACTGTTTTGTCATCGGTTAGGAAATTACCATGGGCGCTAACAGGGCGGGATAGTGCCATGGCGACGGGGGCATTTGCACACACCCGTCAGAAGCTGACGAGTATGATCACGGCTGTGTCTGATTTCTTGGGTGAGGCAGTCGTAACTGTACGGTACGACAAACCGATTGCACCTGACCTGAAAGATGACCAGGTTTGTCAGACCGATAGAAATTGCTTTGTGTCTTCATGTTCGTCACATGAAAGATCCCCCGACGTTGCTGGTACCAACTTTCAGAGAGGAAGAGTGAGTCCTCCGGCTGCTTCATCGTCGCTGTGTTCATCGTCGTCATCATCATTGTTGTCTTCCCGGTCTTTGTCATCTTCATCGCTTTCATTGTCATCAGCATCATCATCTACTTCACCATCTTCATGCTCAGCATTGTCTGCTACCCGCTTGCGGCCTGCCCAGGACACGCAGGGTTGTATGTCATTGCCCACGGCATCACTGTCGCATTGCAGAACTATGCACGAAAAGCGGCGGACAACATCGTTACCCCGTGAGGTGAACGAGGCTAAGCCTTCATTTCTGCAGTCGTATAGTCATCGTCCTTTCGGGGAGATATCGTGGAGCTCTGGGACTCCTTGTTCTTTGAGTGTGCGCAGAGCTGGCAAAGCCATGCTTGTTCCTTGTCCTAGGATAGGACTTGTAGGACTCTCAGGCTTGCAGTGTGGGCGAGTGGTTGCCTTGTATCGGAACAGACATGCGGTTCAAGTCCGAGGTTTCAAAATTGCAGGATCAGAGGTGAGGTTGGGCAACGTGATCGAGCGCAATGGTCGGCTGGTCCTTGTGGTGAAAACCAGTCACACTCAACATGGTCGTGGGGGTGCATCGATTCAGCTAGAGACGCGGGACCTGCAAAACGGCGGGAAGAGAAATGAGCGGTTGCGGACTTCTGAGGAGGTGGAGCGTGTGCGTCTGTACGAACGACACTACACGTTTCTTTACACGGAAGGCGACGACGTCGTACTGATGGAGCCATCCACGTTCGAGCAGCTTACCGTTCCGAAGTCGATGTTTGGAGGGAAGGAGGTGTATCTTACGGATGGGATGACGGTCGTCATTACTGTGCATGGGGAGAAGGAGGAACTGCTGCCGCTGATGGCGGCAGTTCCCTCACAAGTCGTGTTGAAGGTGATGGATGCAGAGCCGTACTCTAAGAACCAGACGGCAACCCCAACGTCTAAGCCGGCGATCCTGGAGAACGGCCTGAAGGTTCAGGTGCCATCATTTGTCGTCGCAGGCGATAGCGTTGTCATTAATACGACAGACAACTCTTTCATTCGTCGGGCAAGGGATGGCGCGTAGCATTACTATCCATTTGTTTGTGTAGTTGACGTTCTTGGACAGACGGGGAAACTCGCCCGTTTCTCGACGAGGCGACGACAGCCAAGATGCTGATTCTGATCTTGATGGAGAAAAGAGACAATGGCTAGCATCGGAGCTCAGGGGCAGAAAGAGTATGTGAAGCATGGTTACCAACCGGACGTCCGGATCCCGATCCAGACAGTCCGGTGTCCGGTGTCCGGGTCCAGTGTCCGGTTCGGAGGGTCCGGTTGGACCCTGATTTCGAAAACTTCGAATTTTTGGGGGGGGTCCCAGGCCGTTTACCTGGGCCTGGGGTACCCCGGAAAAATCTTGCTGATGTTTTTGAGAACCGGTACCCCAACCTGACAGGCCCTGAAAGGGCCCTCTGTGTGAAAATTTGAAACTTACGGGAGCACAGTAGCAGCCGCGGCGGCAGAAGGCCACGATTTTCGAACAAGTGGAGGACGCGATTTTTCGAACAACGGAAGGTTGTCGAGGAGGGGGCTGCAATCGAGGACACTGGTGGTGCCAATGATAATGTTGCGGAGGAGGAATACTGTGACTCCCAAGAGCAGCCCGCTGGTGCTGCACCCGAACTGGCAAAACGCAAGCAGGGGAGACCACGGAAGGTCGCGGAGGAGGAAACTGCTGCAATGGAGGAGAGCGGGGGAACTGCACGCAAGAAGCGCAAACAACAGACTGAGGCGGGATACTTGGGGGGTGAAGCGGGTGTGGGACTGACACTTGGGGGCTGGAGCGGGGCTGGAACTTTGCTCTGTGTGTGTGTGTGTGTGGCGGTTCAAGATTGCACGTTAATATTGAATTCATTAGCATTTCCGACCAGTCCCACAAACCTGTGTGTGTCTGTGGTTTTTTTTTTTTTTTTTTTCTCGAACAACCGGACACCGACGCAACAAACTGGACTGTCCGGGTCCGGATGTCTGGATGTCCAGTTTGATGGCCGGTTAACCGGACGTCCGGTTTGATCCAGACACGGGTTCGGTGTCCGGTTGTCCGGGAAAACCATGATGTGAAGCTGAATTCTGAAGGACAGAGGAGATTCTACAGAGTCGGGACATTGAGCCTCTTGGGCAGACCAAGGAAACTGCAATCTCGAGAAGTCCAGGGCAGTGGAGATGCGGATGTTGATTGATTGAGAGAAGATGCAAAAACGAGTGTTGAAACTTGAGGGGCAGAAGGAGGGTGCGCACTAGAGTTCTGAAGGACATAGTATAGGGGATTGAACCTAGTCAGGACTCTGCGGGGACAGAATAGGAGGCATACCTGTAGCTGAAACTTCAGGGCCAGAAAGAGAATGCAGTTCAAGTTTTGAGGGGCACGGCAGAAATTTCACGTGTTCGGAACTCCGAGACCTAAGAGGAAACTTTAACCACTGGAGCATGTGGCCCCGCAGCCGCTCCACTGCACGCCAAGCTTTTCTGAACCGCCGACGGCACAGTTTTTTAACTTTCTTTTCCTTTCTTGGCTGGTGCCGCCAGCCATTGTGGTCCGGTCGACCCGAGGTGTGGAATCGTTGGAGTAGGCGCCGAACCGTTTTCTGCAAGGCTGGGGCCGTGTACCAGGGGTTTTACCATGTAGCTGAACTTCAGGGATGCTGGTAGGGGACCACCACTATTCATGCAGAACTTAACTTTTGAAGGACAAAGAGGAGCAGCTTTATTTTGAACTTAACTTTTGAAGGACAGAGAGGAGATTTTATTTGGACGTTAATTTACAGCTGGGACTACTCACATTCGAGAGTGCTGGTAGGGGACCACCACATTCGATTGTGGACTTACAACCGGTCGGGGATGCAGCAGACAGTGATTACGTTCAGAAGAGATCGGTAAAAAAACGTTTTACCGTATGGTGGGGGGGGACCACCACCTGCTGGCAACCAGAGTCAGTTCCCAGGTAGCGCAAAGGTATACAACTGACAAACAACTTCACGACTGCAAAACACGCATTCACTCATGGAGAGAAATACATGCAACGGTGGTGGGGGACCACCACCTGCTGGCAACCAAAGTCGGTTCCCGGAGTCGAAGAACGCCCATAGGCTTGTTGACAATTGAACAATAGAGAAAGTAAAAAAAAAAAGAAAAAAGAAAAGCCAATAGAGTCGAAACCATGGCGTCCACTAAAGTGGAGGGGGTGCAGAGAAGAAGAAAAACGTCCAACCGTATGGTGGGGGGGGACCACCACCTGCTGGCAATCAGAAGTTGACTGATAGTTGAGAGTCTTGAGACGCGGGGACGCAGATGGAAGGAGATGCAGTTCAACTTTATTAACAAAAAAAAAAAAAAAAAAAAAAAAAAAGGATGCGGTTCAACTTGAGGGACGAGGCACAGAAGGAACAACAAACATGCAGTCTAATTGTTTTCGCCTTTCTCCCCCCC